GAGAGAGAGAGAGAGAGAGAGAGAGAGAGAGAGAGAGAGAGAGAGAGAGAGAGAGAAAATTCCATCCATAGGATGAGCAAACTGGTAACGAATCTGTGGCTATACCATGGAAATATACACTGCCACATTTCGTTCTTTGGCAGTGTCTGTTTCCATGTTGTGGAAGTGGATACTTCCATGTTCTAGTGGCTATACCATGGAAATATACACTGCCACATTTCGTTCTTTGGCAGTGTCTGTTTCCATGTTGTGGCAGTGGATACTTCCATGTTCTATGGGAAGATTCAATCCCATTTTGCTCATTTGGTGAAGCGTGGCAAATTGGCAATGTCTGTCTGGATGTGTGCGTGTGTGTAGGATGAGCAAAATTGGAATGAATCTTCAGCCAGAACAGTGCCATATTTTATTTTTATTTTATTTTTCCTTTTTTTACTTCTTCTTCTTTTTTTTTTTGTTTTTTTTTTTGTTTGTGTGTGTGTGTGTGTGTGTGTGTGTGTGTGTGTGTCTGTGAGAGAGAGAGAGAGAGAGAGAGAGAGAGAGAGAGAGAGAGAGAGAGAGAGTGTGTGGCAGACGGCGGCAACAGCCTGTAGGGAAGGTCACAGTAGCAGGAGCAAACCATACATATACGCAAGAAATTGACAATACTTTTTCTTCGAAACAGGCTCGTCCTGAGCAAAGTCATTGAGCACACAAAGCTATAAAAAAAAAATTCATCAGCGAAACCCAACCATTGAAGTCCAAGTAGGAAACCCCCCCGCTAGTAAGGCATAGTCCCTCGTCACCATAGCCAGTTTCTTCCCAAAAATCACTTGACAACGCAGGTCCTTCTACCGGTTTCATCCATCTGCATGGAATCATCAGGAAGGTGCGTTCGTAGAACGCTTCTGTCGAAAAGAGAGGCCTGTGCCTTGCCTCTTCTGTTAAGTATCTGCGGAACTTCCTACTTCAATCAATAAAATAAATTAAAATAACTAAATAAACAAATAATTGCCGAGTGCACGACTTGTTTCTTCCGACAGTACGCTTACGGTGATAGCCGGAATACCGAGCTCCGGACAGCTCGTTCTTCGAGCGACGCATCCCTTTTCGAAAAACTCGGAAGTAACTAGTTCCAAAAACTAGATCCGGTATCTAGCAACCAAAATCGCAAAATTTCGAAAATAAATCACGAAAAAATAAATCACGAAAAAGGAGATAAAGGCACACTAGGCCAGCCGTGGTACTTGGAGTACCTGGTGTCAGTGTTCCCCGACTCCCAATTCCAAAAAACTCGTGTTTTATTTATCCGTTTCTACCTTCCCAAGGAGTTACAGTCTGCATTCGTTCCGAGCCGCGGTCTGATATCCCAGTTCGCCGGTCCGTAACTGGTTTTTCAGGAAACTCCTTGGATCGAGTCCTCTCGGAAAACTGTGGTACGATAGCCAGTTTTGCCCGAGTGTGATCAGGATCGATTCTCCCGTAACCTTGGCCAAATTGGCCAAGGTGCCGAGAGAGACCTCCGAGGGATATCCTCGGATGTCATTTTCGAGTAGCGCATACGCAATGAGGCTCACGGCGAGAGCTGGTGACTTAGATGAGTTCCAGATCCTCTTCAGATTGGCTGATAGGACCGCTTTCTTAGTCTTCTTCTCTAAGTAACTTGCGAAATCTTGTATAAACTGATATCTGAGTACGCCGTCTTGTCTAATAGAGTCCGCATTCTTGGTGTCCTGCACAAAATGTACCTGGACCGGATCAGCCATGACATACATTTGGCCTCCGATGAACTGCCAGGTATTACTTTGATCGTCCTTGCGTACCAGTTTAAGGCGTGGATCGTAAGCTGTCTCAAATTTGTTCAGGATTTCGTGTGCCTTCACCCATGCTCCTTCTTCTTCATTACATCCTACCACGATGGACACGTCATCTTCCATCCTCCACCCTTTGACCAGCTTCTTGTCTGCGCCCAAAGAACGCAAAAACCTTGTCTCGGCCATAGCACACGTTACTGTAGCCAGTATCGGGCTCATATTCTTTCCCATGGGGATACCCACGATTTGTCGTCTGATTGTCTCTCCGCATTGCATGAACGCGTGAGACAGATCATAGTCAACCATATCAAAGATGGATTTCAGGCTCACCTTGATATAACCAGCTTCTCCTCTGTTGTTCTTTGACAAAATAGTCAGCTTTCCTCTTACTGCTACCCTCACTTGTTGCTAATTCTGGTTCTCAAACCCCCGGATCAGTTCGAAAACTGCCTCCCTCACTGCATCATGCGGTATCGAGGAGAATGTCTCCTTGATATCGTGGCATCTCCCTATCGCCAAACTACAGCCTTGTCCTCCCAATTCCATGCCTGCACACAAAGCGTCCTCCTTCAGTTGGTAAGTCGAAGTTAGGTGGAAATTCAGTTGTCGGTCGTATCTCGTCATGAGTGTGTGGAGTGCTCTTGCGCATCGGCGTTGTCCCAAACCTGCTGGATCTTCACAGGCTGGGGCAATAGGTCTCCATCGCTGGAGATCTTTGTCCTTTGGGATAATATACGCCTTGCCCAATTTTCCGTTATTTCACCATTTTCCTACTGCCGACAGGCCCGCGTGTTCGTAGTCATCTCTGCAGCTCAGTAAAACGTCGCGTTCGCACTTGGTGACTTTCTCGTAGTCGGGATTCCATGTGAACATACACCCAAAAGCATGCCTGTAAAGTACAGTGTTATGACCCGGACCAATTGCGAAGTACAAATTCACCAATCAGCACAATGTTCACCAACTGCAAAAGGAAACGAATGAACTTGAGAGGATGGAGAGGATAAGAAGAAGAAGAAGAAGTAGAAAAGATTGGAAAAGACAATGTACACCAGCAAGAACCAATGTCAAAGCTCTTCTTCTTCGCTCAACTCCCTTGCATCTTATCTTCCCCTCCTCTTTATAAATTCAAACAATAAATAATACAACAATGTTGGAATGAAGGTCCAGTATCACTGCCCAAGTCTCTCTTCTACAGCTGGACAACTATGAGG